TGTGTGTGTGTGTGTGTGAGGGAGAGTGTGAGAAGGAGTGTGGGGTGGGATTGGTAGGAGGATGGGGTAGTGGATGTCGACTTTTTGATTACTGGTACATACAGCAGCAGCGCTGTGTGGTTTTCTTGACCAGTTATTTGTATGTGAGCTGTGTTACAGTGTATGTGCAGCTACCTGTCAAAGTCCACTGTGTTAAAAAGTGCCAGTGAGTCACAGGACCTCTGGATACTCTTCAACCTCCCCTCTGCACTGTTTCCCACGAGCACTCCCCCCGCCCACCCTTTCTCCCCCACTCCTTTTTCTTTTAAACACCCCTGACCCTCACACGCTGTCAATTTTTCATGTGACGTCTCACACACAGATGAAGACTTCTTTTTCTCTATAGCATCTTACTCCCCCCCCAGTCTGCTTTCAGCTTTTATACGTCAGCAGAGCTCAATGCCAAGGCTAGCCATCTATTGAGACAGTCACATTTGCTTGAGGTGTATTTCCTGTTGCTGAATATCTTTTTCATTTTTCTCCAGCAATGTCAAAATGTCACCTGAGAATGACAACTGGAGAGCCTTAAAAAAATGTAAGCGTCATCATTACATGAGGATGGGTGAAGGAGAAGCTGACTTTTGACTTTCTGACAGTTCTTCCTGAGTGTTATATGACAGAGTGAAAGAAAAGATGTGCAAACAAAGATATATTTTGCTGTTTTAGTTGTCTTTGTCAGATATGCTTCTCTGTGAGCCCACAGAGAAGAGCCTCTGCAGAGCACGCATTGATTTTTTCTAATCAAAGACGAAGTTCTCTTGATCCAGCGATGACTAACTGTGACGTGACAGATGAAGAGATTCCTCTCGCCAGTTTGCCACCACGAGCACAGATCCACATTCTTGCCATGAGAGATTTGATAGCTGATTATTTATTTGGATTGCTGACAGGAGTCAGGCAGGAATTTGTAAGTGGGACAATGTAGCAGCAGGGAGCACTGGAAGAGGAAATTTCACTTACAGTAAAAGGGCACGGTGCACAAACAGGCCAATTGCCTGGTGGCTGTCGCATATTAGTTTATCTCACACCCACATGCAGACACATATAGTCTCCCTCCGCGGCCATCTCATCAGATGAAAAGAACCATCTGTGCTTTTTACTTTGCGAATGGTAAAGGAGAATACGGTATGGTCACCTCTTCCTGCAACCTCCTTAATAATTCATCTTGTTCTGATATTGCAGCACCTCTGCTGATCCCCAAACAAACACTTTGACCTCTGCTCCAGATGGTCACAAACTAAACACACGTGCTGACCTGGTGGCGTCCCTTTAAAGCAGGAAGATGAGTGGCTGCAATCTTAACTGCAGTGCACAGTAGGTATTTCAAATGTTTATCCTTAACAATAGTCACTTCCAAAGTTGAACCATGTGGCATTTGATAAAACCTAGCTGGTTTGTATATGTGCAACACATGTCAGGGTTGGGAATCTGGGTGTTGCGGTGTCAGTCTGCCAGCCTGTATATTAAACTTTGTCCACTGGACTTTTCCTCTGGCGACAGTACCACGAGGTTGACATTTGTGCTTTAAAGAGATGTGTTTTGATAACCATTAAATGGGGTGCCATGCAATTTGGAGCAGTCGATACTTTTCCCTCTCATAATGAAGAGTGATTGCTTTTGTGACGCCTTGATTTTTCATCTAGCACAATTACCAGATCAACATTTTAATTTGTCCAATCCTATGATTTACAAGCAGCTATATGCAAAACTAATAACACTCTGGAGACTCAGCTGTATTTTGTGTTAGATGCAAATGAGCTAATTTAGCATGCAACCATGGTGAATTAGAAGCATGGACTGTATGATACTGTATAGCCACATACTAACAGGCTGACTGTACCTCACCGAGGTTCACAGACCCTTCCAGCATGGTTGTTTGGATCCTGTTCCAAGCTTTCCGGAGATACCAAGAAAAATAAATAATTCAGCCACTTTGGTGAAGAGAACATAATGAAATTTGCATAATTTAAAGCTCAAATCACAGTTTGGTGCTTAAATGTCATGACTTGAAATGTGATCTGTTGCTTTACTGATGCTGATTCAAGCTAAACAGTGCATCACTCATGGTGTTAAATTGAAGTTTGCTAACTTGACTGATATGTGGTAAATAAGCACCGTCTGCCATCAAACATGCAGTTTATTCACTGTTGACAATAGTGGCTGATTCTAATTGTGCACACATTATTATTTCGTTCAATAAACAAATTGCATTGCTTTTACCAAAATCTTCACTGAGGAAACATCATTTTTATAAGTGGTATCCCTATGTTGGTGCTGAGGGATCACCAGCACACATGAGGTATTATTTGATTTTCAAAAATTAGACCTGATGGGGAAAATATGCAGTTAAAGAAAAGATCTCAATGCTAATCTCCAGATGCAAGTGAGCCAAAACATTTTAATGGGTGCTGGGCACATTTCTGCATGATGGCACAAAAGTTGTTAAGTGATTTATCTTAGTTCACCAAATAGTACTGCAATTGTAGCACCCTGCAGTTTTCAAATTGTTTTTAGCTTTTGATCAATCATCAGTCTGGGAAATCTCCTTCTACCCCAGGAGTATCAGACTCATTTTAGTTCATGGGCCACATACGGCTTAATTTGATTTCAAGTTGGCTGAACCATTAAAACAAAGCCATAATAAACCACATGAAACACAGACCCCTCTAAACTGCTCATTTCTTGAATTGTAAAGAACTACATTTAAAAAAAAAAATTGCATTTCCATATTTAATGAGCCATGCATTTACAAAATGATGAGCATCCTGAAATTTTCTTAAGAATATTAAACACAGTGTCAACAATATGTCTCACTTTTCCCATGTTCAGTGAGCCTGTTGCCATTAAATGTGCACACCAACTCACAGATCATGGTTGTTGTACAAAAACTCCACATGAAGAGCATTCTTTTATTAAATGAGTACAATACTTTACATTTATATGGCCCAATCTGTCTGAATGCAAAAACACTTTTATGTTTCCAAATATTTATAATAAGTTTTGAACTGATGATTTTATTTACTAAGGGAAAAAAGGTTCCTACTTATTAAAAAAGATCCAAACCTACCTGACCCTATGTGAGAAAGTAACTTCCCCCCAAACTAATAACTGTTTGTGCCACCATTGGCAACTGCAATCAAGCGTCTGTGTTAATTAGCAATGAGTTTTTCACATCACTGTGGAAGATTTTGGCTCACTCTTCTTTGCAGAATTGTTGTAATTCTGCTATATTGCAGGTTTTTCCAGCATGGGTCGCCTGTTTAAAGTCATACCCAAGCATCCCAATCAGATTTAAGTCCAGACTGTGACTAGTTTTCTCTCTGGATGCCACGTCTGTGCAGTCTCTGTCTTATTGTTGAATCTTAAACTCTTATTGACATATATGCAAAAAGATAAGAAATCAAGAAGGGGTAGGTACCTTTTCATAGTACTGTACATATGTAGTAATGCTGGCATTACTTCACTGTCTCTGAAATGGCAATGCATTTTATCATTAAGCTTGTAAAGCAATACTGTGGGCCATACTGGACTCTCTGGTGAGCTGTTACAAAATGATGATTCACATGCTTCATCTTAGTCTTGATGCAGTTGACTGGACCTCACCACAATTTGACTGATTGCTTTCAGTTCCACCAAAGTGAACTGAACTAACCTGGCAAATACAGCAGATCTTGTTTAAACTGAACAAAAGGATTAAATCTAAAAGCTAAGTCCTTCATCAAATGCAACCACTCAATTCTGACCTTGAGAGAAGAAAAAGGAAAGCACCTTTTACTTGAGCACAGAATAACGTAACACTTACAACTCCGATGCCGTGAGTACACGAACAGTTATCAGACTGAAGATTCACTCTGACCACAGCTATATGTTAGATAGGATGTATTTATAAAAGATCAGTGTGAGGCACGATAGAGAGTTTATGCTAATCAGACAGTTCATTAGAGCATTAAACTTTAAAGATTAGAAGTACTTTGGATGGACTTCCAAACCGAGTGAAGTATCTGCAGTTTTGATCAGATCACAAAGTGTGTTCCCGCTGAAGTCAGTCTCTATGAGGAGAGCTCCCTGAAACAATCCCTGGATCTGAGATCGCCAGGTCAGCTTTCACCCAACAGCGCATGTTTTGCCTCAGTGATTCACACAGCGTTCTTTGTTATACAGACATGCATCCAGCTTCAGACACACAAACCCACACAGACATAGGGATTCAAGCCATGCATGCATAAACACCTAGCCTACTAGGGTTGCCAAGATCACCTGTCAGTCATGGCTGCTGCCTCTTCAAAGGCTGCACAAAACCCCCTACAGCACTTTTCCCCTGTAATATCTGTTTAAAATGAAAGAGTTTCACATGTGCCTCTATGGGATATAAACAGAAAGCTTTAAATCTTTAAAAATCTCAAAGTATTGCTGCTTTTCCCGCTGCATTGTCTTGTGTTCAGTTTTCTTTTACCATAGATTCAAATTGGAAGCAGTAGATGGATGTACAAGCCATCCTGAATGCTGCTGGCAAAGGCAAATATTGATACAGTTGGATGCCAACTGTGAACCTAACTGCA